ATGGATTAGGTAATAAATAACAACTTTTAAAATGAAAACATAATGAATATTTTCCATGAGAGGAAATTTTAAAAATCTTCAAAAAGTGATTCTACTTTTGGTAAACTGATTTGATGTCATTTAAAATAAAAACAATAAACAGGTTATTGTTTTTCCTGAGCATTTTCAAACAATAATGAGTTTATTGTCACTTACGGTAGGTCGCAAATGCCTTGGTAGATACCAAACTATAGTAACACCTATTTTTTTTTGTATAAAAATGTGGCACAAGGCCAAGGCGGCGATAGGGGAAATCTTGTCATCAGTCTGTCTTATCTTAAACTTAGCTAGCCACGATTAATCGCTCTAGCAAACGACGGTTTTCCTTACAATGAATAACACATTCTTTCTACAATCACCATAATATCTCCAAGTCTCTATATAGACCTAACTAGCTCTCATATATATAATTTGTACCACAGAGGAAAGTAATAATTATTTTGTTGGTAATACAAAAATGTGGCACAAGGCCAAAGTAGGGATAGGGGGAATCTTGTCATCAATCTGTCTTATCTTAAACTTAGCTAGCCACAATTACTGACTCAAGTATACCACGGTATTCCTTAGACCGAAATAACACATTCTTACTTATCATTCTTACAGCAAGCACCGTAATACCGCAATGTCTCTACGAAGTTCTAATTAGTTGTCATATGCACAATTTGTCTGTGGAGTGGGTAATAAATAACAACTTTTAAAATGAAAACATAATGAATATTTTCCATGAGAGGAAATTTAAAAAAAATCATGAAATAGTGATTTTACTTTCTGTAAACTGATTTGATGTCATTTAAAATAAAAACAGTAAACAGGTCATTGTTTTTTCATGAGCATATTCCAGCAATAATGACTCATCGTTATTTACGTAGATATTATACTATAGTAGCGCCCAAAAATCGCACATGGTCAAAACTCACTATGAACCGCAATATTTAATGTTCACATTTTATACCTGGAGTATAAGACGGTCCCCTATTTTGGGGTGATTTATTTAAGGTTAAAATATCGCCTTGTACGCCGATAGAGACAGTATATTTTTTCATTGTTCATCCAATACAAGGTCCTAGATGCACATAACCTAGAGGGTTATTGAATTAGGTTGTTGTACTGGATGAAGTAGAAATACTGGTCGATCAGAAAAAGCGTTTAATTAGAATGGAGCAAAAACGGTATCATGTTTAGATGTAAGAGTCTACCTTCTTCCATTAGTTTAAAGTACTTTCATTAAAAATATTTTGAATTAATGCAGTTACTGACAGGCAAAAATGAATACTCACTTCAGCCAACCACAATTATTTTGGAGGTTTTGACATTCCTTTTGTCAGTGTGCTACCAGGGATATCAAAGAGGATACACTTATAGGGCAATTGTTAAGGTTGATGAAAACTGGTTGAAAGATCAACGAAATTAAGAAAGAAACCATTATCACCATTTTTCGCTATTTACACGTTTTCACTATATGGGTAGATTCAATTATCAAGTTAAATGGCTGTCAAACAATCAACTTGAGTGAAGTCTGTATTAGATTACTCGAAAAATGAGGGCGATTTTAGTTTAAATTTTGTGTTCAAATCGATTTTTCCGGATATGAGGAATTCATTACAAGGTCCGGATATGAGGGATTCCGGATATGAGAGAATTCGGATATGAGGGTGTCCGGATATGAGAGATTTCGGATATGAGGGACACTAAAAGGAACAAGCTGATCACTGGTGTTTCTTTAAACAGTAGAATACTTGACAACCGGACTAAGAGGGCCTTCCGAATATGAGGAATTGGTTACAAAGTCCGGGTATGAGGGATTCCGGATATCAGAGATTCCGGATATAAGGGACACTAAAATGAACAAGCTGATCGTTGATGTTTCTTTATACAGTAGAATCCCTGACAAGCGGACTAAGAAGGCCTTCCGGCTATGAGGAATTGGTTACAATGTCCGGATATGAGGGGTTATATTTAGATTAAAATAAAAGAACTGAAATCAGATTTAACATTTATTTTCAATATTTTATAGTAAACAAAATAAGCTAATGGTGAGTGAAATATAACGGAATTGATTTTAAGGAAAAAGAAATAAATTATGTAATGTTAATGAAAATTCATTGAATTAATTATGCCACGTATGCATAACAAATAATGTAACGAGGATTTTTTAATCGCTATTGCATGATGAATTCTTTCTTTTCTAATGTCATTCTCAACTTTTTCCGCATTTCCTTCTGCTTTTGTTCTTGAAATTTTTTAAACGAAAGACATTTTAACTCTGCGTGCGTTATTGCAATCGTCATAGCTGAATGCTGGCTTTCTTTCCATAAAACAGATAACCTTTTCAATAGCTTTTTCAGTTTCAGTCCAGGTTTCATCAAAATCATTTTTTTTTATTTCCTTGTTCATTGTGACAGTGTGAACGCTGGAGAATAGTTTCTTTGGAAGATTTTATATCATACAATGTTGAATTTCCTATGTTGAACTCAGCCATTAGTTATAATGAACTTTCACCAGCGTCTCGTCTGTTTCAAACAAAATTTTGCCGATGCTTTTCGTTTTCCGACTTTATCAAGGCAAACAATGAAAGCGAAATGTTTTTTGTCATGTTATGACACAGAAATGGTCTGGGAATTTTACTATATTCTCGACTTGGAAAAAAAATATTAGTATAAAGGAAGTTAAAATTAGCCAGAAGAAGGTTTACACAGAAGCGTCACTTTTTTTTTAAGAATTTTGGATTTAATGTAACTATGACAACAAAAACATTTCGCTTTCATACTTTGCCTCAAAAAAGTCGAAAGACGAAACGTCGGAAGACGAAACGTCGGCAAAAAAGGTTGTTTTTTTTTCCCCAATAGTCCTTCTTATATTAAAATTATTCTTGTAAATAAGCAATTTAATAAATAGTGTTTAATATTTTTGTTGTAAATTCTCAAGAACAAAAAAATGAATAAATTCACTTTCATCATATTTTTTTATTATTATGATACTAATCATCGCTTTTTGAAACGATAAAAATTACCTTAGACTTAAGGTAGTTAAAATAAAAGCGGTGTGATGGGAAAAACCGTCCTTTTTTTATAATAAGTTTTATTGAGGGCACGAAAAACCATATTTGCCAAACTGCCATTATCAATCAAAAATAATAATTTCCAGAAAATAAATCAGTTTAATCGTCTCTTTGCTGGTGTCATTTACGACTGGGATTTGGTTAATTGTTTTTGCAACCAATCAGATATTTAAAAAAAAATTGACAAGTGTTTCCGGGAGTGAATTGGCCTCAGTTGCATTCAACCCGCCTAGCTTCTCTATATAAACGGTCATCGATGGCCCAGCCACATTGTCTGCTCTCCAGTCAAGTAAGGTAAGAATTTTATTCCCTTTTCAGATTTCGCAGACTTCTTTCGATTTCAAGCTTTCAATGAAACCCTAAAGATGTTAAACCCAACGCTGCTCTTTCTTTAGTCTCCAGTCAACATTTCTTGAGCCAATTTAAGAGTCAAAATGCACAATATTGATCTTTCAAGCATTCAACAGTGAACAATCCCTCAGTATCAGGTCTCGTGCGCAATAGAAATCACGCGTGATATCTTGTGAGATTACTCTAATTTCGAATCACTGATAAATTAGACAGATGTGTATCCGATTCTAATCTTTAAAAGACTTTGTGAATTTAAACTCAATGCGATACTGGCAACAAGGTCCCATCATTTGAAAGGCTTAACCGTAAGTTCTATCAACAGCTATCAGTCAATTAGTAAGTCTGCAGCTAAGAATGTTGGTTGACTATCTTGTGCGAGAGTTTTTTTTCTCGCCAGAATCTGACATATTTATAAGTCTACCATTCATTTTTTTAATTCAATGACACAGTGATTGTTAATTCAGTTGCACAGTGACAGGACCCAAAGAGTTTGAGTTCAATTCCCGGT